CTACTGCTACTGCTACTACTACTACCACTATTACTACTGCTACTATTATTGTTATTTTTGTTGATGTAGTTGTAAATCCAGCTAGAATTGACTACAATATACGGGAAGATACTTACGTTTCAATCCTCGTCCTGTACCTCTATGACAGAGCCGTAAAAAACTACCTGAAACAAAAGCGAAACAAAAAAATAAATAAAGGAACAAAAATTAGAAAAAAGAAAATGCCTCAGAAACCGAATCCAGGAATCTCAGGTAACTTGCAAGAAAAGATTCTTAACTAAAAAAAAGAAGGAAACAACTAAAGATACAGGGAACCGTACTACTCTGCGCAATAACACACACACTGTGTGCTCAAACTCCTTATTCTTATGCAATAGAATTAATTATTGACACAGGAAAACGAGAGCTTTCAAGTGTCACCTCGACCTAAGACTTATACTCTAGAGTCGTACAAAAGAAGAATCTTTTACGCTGACACAGAACACACCACGCTTAGGCGTGTCTATTCACAGTACAATTCGCCTTTCTTAAACCCTATCCGTACGTCGTGTTTTGCTATCGTATCCATACGACGTGGGGAACTCTGTGCCACCACTTTCCAAAGAGGAAAAGTTCTCGTAAATCCGATCCGTACGCTTTGCCTAGCAGTCTGTCAAAATAATTTTTTTGAGAAATACTGACTGTTACAAGAAGATAATTCCAGAAAAGATTGGATGTAACGCCTCTGCAAAGATTAATCCTATCCGTACGCCCTGGGGTCATTTTGTAACCCTGGGGTTGTATTCTTCACATTTTAGAATACTTCTAGTACGGATAGGATTAATCTTTGCAGAGGCGTTACATCCAATCTTTTCTGGAATTATCTTCTTGTAACAGTCAGTATTTCTCAAAAAAATTATTTTGACAGACTGCTAGGCAAAGCGTACGGATCGGATTTACGAGAACTTTTCCTCTTTGGAAAGTGGTGGCACAGAGTTCCCCACGTCGTATGGATACGATAGCAAAACACGACGTACGGATAGGGTTTAAGAAAGGCGAATTGTACTGTGAATAGACACGCCTAAGCGTGGTGTGTTCTGTGTCAGCGTAAAAGATTCTTCTTTTGTACGACTCTAGAGTATAAGTCTTAGGTCGAGGTGACACTTGAAAGCTCTCGTTTTCCTGTGTCAATAATTAATTCTATTGCATAAGAATAAGGAGTTTGAGCACACAGTGTGTGTGTTATTGCGCAGAGTAGTACGGTTCCCTG